TCGACAAATTTATAATCCAAAATCTCGTTATTTATGCAAACACAATGAGAAATATGAAATAAACAGAATCATTTCGATTTCATGTTTCTAACTTTAAAACGATAATATTTCTCATCGCACGTACATTGCATAAAAATTATTTTCGATTTTTATAGATCGGAGTAACTTTTTCAACATAGACTATTTTCATTTGTTGAAACTTTCAAAAAGTACTTATATCAGACTAGGTATATAGCATCTTGAGGGTGAGGGTGTGGGTGAGGGTGGGTGTGAGGGTGGGGTGGGGTGTGGGTGTGGTGTTTGTGTTATATTTTTCCTACACCCACACCCACACCCACACCCTCATCAGGGAGAGATTCCCAGAAACAGAATAAACATACTCACTAGAAAAAAATTCCCAGAAACCATCTTGAGGGTGTGGGTGCTAGTATGGGTACCGCTTTGAATAAGAAGTAAACTCACACGCTTTTTTCAAAGATTCCAAATATGAAATAAGTACATAATAGAAGAAACTATTTTCATTCAGTTGACCAAATAATTTTTAACTGGAATAAATAAAGAAACAGAATCTCATCGAGAAAATTATTCAACACTCACATTAAAACTGTTATCTATAAATAAGAACAAAATAATCATGCCGATTGTATAACATCGTAACATTTTAAGTCCAACCGACAGAAACAATAAAAATTCTGACATTTAGTTATAGATTTTTCTTCTTCAAACAAGTAATTATGCCATCATGAAAAATCAATGACGCGTAACAAATATAGTCTCATCTAATAGCAAGAAAAAAAAGTAACATACATTATACCATTAACATACACGGTCATACAAAACACGTATTAATATCTATTATCAATGTCGAATAAAATCAACATTTCTTTTCATACACTGCCACTAGAAATTGTTTACCGAATTTTGGATTATCAGAATGCATTTACTATTCTATGCTCAATGTACAATGTGTGTCAGCGATTCAATTGAATCCTGGACAGCTATCATTGATATCAGGTAAACATATTTTTACTCATATTAGTTTGTTTTTCATTCCTATTAACTATAGATCTAATATAAAATAAATGAATAAAATAGTTTCATGGTAAACTAAAGTATCAATCATTCATCTCTCCTGAAAAAGTCAATTACAATATTAGGGAAATTTTTGAATGTTCTACCGAAATCGTTCGTGAAAGATGGGGGAAAATATGTTGTTTCTCATAGAAACCACCATGAGAAAATCCGATCAACTCCATATGAATCAAAGTGCTATCACAGTCTCTAATAATAAGATATCACAATTTGTTATTGTCTAAAACAGAATAACACTATGCGATCTAATTCAACAGTCAGATTTAGCTGTTTTCTCTCCAAGAACTTCATTACTCTTATCCTCTCTTTATATGTCTTATATATATATTTCATACAAACGATCACCATATTACATCTCCAATCAAATTCCATCTGCAATACAGGAGTACAGCATCTTGCTGATGCATTAAGATATAATACGGTAGCTTGCAGTTGTTCTTCATCTATCTCATATATTCATTTGTGTATTCCACACAGACACTTACCACACTACATCTCGTAGGGAATCAAATTGGAGATACTGGAACACAACATCTAGCTCATGAATTATGCAATAACGTAGTAATTATCATTCTCTCTTTATTTATCTCATATATCTATTTAAACTTTTTTCATGCAGACACTCACCTTACTAAATCTTCAATACAATCGAATCGGAAACGAACTTAACAATCAAATCAATCAATGTATTCAACGGAATAAAATGATAGCAAAACTGGGCGTAATGCCGTTGTCAATATACTGCTGACGAAAAACAACTAGTTAATGCATGTATAGATCGATTTGTATTGTAATGATGATTCTAGAATACTTTTCTAATTATCAATTTTTTCTAATGAGATACCTCATTATTGACTATTACTAATACTAACATGAATTATGCGAAATTACACTCGCAGTGTATAAAGATTTTATATATAATAGACACTCATATCTGAAAGAGAAAAAAGGTAAGTACATAAAACAAAAGGGAACAGATAAGAACGAAAAAGTGATTAGCGAAGACAAGTGTGGATACAATCGACCGAATGTGAACAAGATTTAAGGTGGAAGGCCATTTTTATTCATTATCGTCATTTTTGTAAAATCGGCGTATTTTACCGAGACATGATGTGGGTGTGACTATAAATTCTATTCAATATTAGAAGAAAAAAAAAGCGAAAGTTTATTTTGTCTTTATGGTATATAAATGAAAATTAAAGTTCATCATGTTCTTTTGGATTATTAGAAATAAGTTGTGCAATATTAATAATTTGTTTTTTTGATGTATTTTCTCGTGCTTCAATAACTAATTGTTGAACTTCTTTAGCTTTATTTGAATAACTATTATTATTCAACATTTGTTCAATATCATCTTGAAGATTATTTGAAACTTGACGAGCTATACCCATTTCAATAACTTGTAAAGCATTATCAAATTGATCACCAAAAAAAGGCCATACAAGTATTGGTTTACCATGTAACATACTTTCTAATAGAGAATTCCATCCACCATGTGAAAAGAAAAATGCTATTGAAGGATGTGATAATATTGCACGTTGTGGAGTCCATTCAAGAATAAGTTGACGATTAGAATCAAGATTATTTAATGACGATGGAAGTGATGTTTTTGTTTTTAATGACCAAATAAATGAATGCTGTAATAAAGCACGAGCAACAATATCGATAGCAGTTGGTGGTAAACGAGCAACTGAACCGAAAGAAATATAGATAACTGAACTAATAGGTTGTTTATCAAGCCAATCGATAATATCTTTAGCCTAAAATATAAATTGTATATGAAAATTATTAGTTTTATTTTATACTTTATTTTCTATTGATTGTTGAGTATTAAAAATGAGAGGACCAATAAAACGAATAGGTGCGAGATTCCTAGATGATTGATAAAATTGTTCAATATATTTTTCATCAAATTCTTTTAATGAATTACAAATAAAACCGTTTGCATGCTGAATATTATCTTGATAATAATGAACTACTTGTTTGAATTCATTATTATCATTTCCTTTATGATTACATATATAATTAACAACACTTCGAAGATTATTCGGTAAAAATAAATGAATAGGTATTGATAAATTTAATAAAGGTATTGGAGCAAATGATAAAATGATAATCATATCAATAGGTAATGAAATATTTCGAGTAATAGGTGATTGAAAATTTGAATGAAACAGATGATTTAATGCTGTACCCATTCGATTGATTACACCATTGAATAATCGAATATGATCATTATCAGGAATTATCTGTAAATAATATTTTACAGAAGCTATTATATATTAATACAAGAAAAAACATACCATTGAAATATTATTTAAATTGATTTGAGAATCGGGAATTTCAAATTGAGGAAAATAATCATTTCCATCAATTAAGCCAACGATATCAAGTGTTTTACTGTTGTTTAAATCGGATATAAATCCTTTACGATCAAGTTCATTGATTTTATTTGCTGAAATTAGATATGTAACATGACAATAAGATGATAATTGTTTGGCAAGTTCTAATGAAGCTATTAAATTTAAAAAAAAACAATATTATATAGTTTATAGTTTTTTTGAATTAAAATTATTTACGAATCATATGACCAAAAAAAGGTGGAGCAATAATAAGAATATGATTGGGATTTTCTCTTGATAATGAACAGAAAATTAGTACGAAAAATAACGATAAGATGACCATCATTTTGTATTATAAAATATATTCGTTCGTTCAATCGTATTTATATATTCTCAATGAACAGAAAGAAAGAAATGAACGTACTCGTACTTTAACGCACTTTGAACTCATCGATAGAGCGTAACAAACGAGTGATAGTCATTTATTAAGGATGAAGGTTCAACATGTTACGCGATATCTACATCATCGGTAAAAGATATTTATTTTAAAATAATCAGAAAAAAACAAAAACTATGGACAGTAACATTTTTATAAATCTATTAGATAATCGAATTCGTATTTTGTCTATATTCCAATTGGTGAATCTGGTGACATCTATTTCATATTTTTACGTGTTCATATAGTTCTATTAATTTATAAACGTTTATTAAATAAATAAGATGTTTTACGAAATCATGATAAAAAAATCTTAGATGAACCATTAAAATGTAATCATCGTGTTATTTTAAATTAACTAGATGAATTAACAAATGAGCAAGAAGGGTGTGGGAATATCTATCTTATTTTCATCCATACCCACCCTGTATGATGCTGCGTTGTTAGTAGATAAAGTCTTTATTTGTTGATTTGCCTTAGTTATTTCATTTTTAATTGAAAGTGTTTTTGATACATTGTCAGCGTTGAAACAATTTTTTGTAGAAGAAATCGAAAGTTTTGCATTATCAGTCAGCATCTGCGCACTTTCTGTAGCTAAGATTTACTCTAAGTTTTAGAGATAACGAACTTTTTATACGATTTTATGTAATCCGGCAAGAATTTGGTCAATTGTTTAATCTGGATAGTTTTTATAATAAAATCTCGAAAAAGATTTTACACTACCGTCAAGGATTTGTCAACAATTAAGATCGTGTAATGGTGAAAATACTTCCAGATATTAAGAAACCTTAAATACAATATTTAGTATGGAAGTCGTAGACTTTGGCACTCCTTATCGTTCTGTATACTGTAGTGTTGTATTTGTGCTTTGAAACAGCTTTCAGCTCTGGTAAAGTAACTATTTCAAACGACATCAAAGTCATTAATCGTAAGAACCTCATATCGTGATTGAAAATAGCAGCTAAAACATAGTTAGATGTTATTCAGTCACAATTGCTGTGAGATCTTTATCCTCTATTAATATTAGCACATAAGACACGATAGACTAAAATAGCAGCTATCATTATTAAAAATCGCATGACGTTGTAAATTTACGTTAAACTGAAATAATAGACTGATTTTCGAGAGTACTTACCGCTTAAATGATACCTAAAACAATCGGTTTTTACTGATTTGGTTGAGAGTTTAGGTCGGTTGATAAGTGGCCAATCGAATCTGAAAAAGCTCGGTTAGTTCCAAGTATGATATAAATTAATATTCACAATCTGTGTTTAGTTATATTGAGAAGTTTAAATGTCTTAAAGTATTAAAAACTGTTTTAAATTAGTAAAGTGGTTAAAAGTATTATAAGTGCTTGAAGTAGTTCAAAGTCATTTATAGTAGTTCGAAGTAATTCAATGTAGCATAAAGTAGTTCAAAATTCGTGCAAAGTAGCCCAGAACTGGTTGAAAGTACTTTAAAATAGTGAAAACAACTGTTAGTACAAAACTCTGCGGTTTTCCCTCTCTAGGCGCTGCTGTAGTTGAAGGTTGCGTAGAACTAGTGCTCTGATTAATGCATTGTTGAGTAGATGGATCACGAGTACAGTTTACGGCATATCCATCGACACACTGTTGCATTGCAGAATTGTAGCATACACCATTGCATAATTTTATTTGATTGGGTTGATTGTAAGGATAATTTGTAATGTTACAAACTGTCACATTGTTAACGCAAACTTGATTGTATCCCATACATCGCTCGTTGCATATTTGAGATGGATAGCTACAAAGTCTGTTATCCAAACAAACTTGTTCTGTAGGATTATAGCATAAAGGATATGGCGGATTATACTGACGTCCATATGTATCATCAAACTTAGTAATACACAATTGCTGACTAACAGAGCATAGAATTCTGTCGAAGCATTGTTGCTGTGATGAGCTGTAGCATACACCTGAACAGCTATTACGACACCGAACAGTCCCGCTAATGCATTTTTCAAATGCAGAATTATAACATACACCATTGCATAATTTTACTTGATCGGGTTGATCGTAAGGATAAAATTTTGTAACATTGCAAGCTGTTACATTATTAAAACATACTTGGTTGTATCCCATACATCGTCCGTTGCATATTTGCGATGGATAGCTACAAATTCTGTTATCCAAACAAACTTGTTCTGTTGGATTATAGCATGAAGGCTGCAGTGAATAATATTGGCGTCCATACGTAGCATCATACTTAGTAATACATAAATGCTGACCAACAGAGCATAGAGTTCCGTTGAGGCATTGTTGTAT